CTGGGATTATAGGCATGTGTCACCATTCTGGGATGAGGCGGAACTAGAGATTGAACCCTGGTCCTTGTGCTTGCCAAAGCCAGTGCCTAGTCTGCCAAACTGTCTCGCCAGCCCCAAACATTATAATACTCATAGTAACTAGGTTCTTTCCTATATTCCTGTTCTTGGATAGTCTTTGTTCAATTTGTCATCTTCCTTTTAATCTTTAACTTCATTATCACCTGTCCATATGTTAAATAGATCTCAACATAGATAATCAAAACCAGATTTAGATACAACTTTTAAAGATGGTTTGCACAAAAGGAGTCACAATAATGCAATCATCATAAAGGTCCACAAAGTTTAGAAGGAAAATGCTGGGGTGTAATTCTCTCACATCCTATGAATTTCCCTTAAATGAAGAGACGTGTGTCATTTTGGGTGTCACTGGCACAACTGAAGCATTTGAAGGAGCCCACGGGACCTTCATAAATGTGAGACCGTCCACTCAGCTCTTTATTAATACTTTGATGCTTTAAAAGAATAAAAGGAAAACTTTGGTTAAGTTAAATTTCATTTACATAGGCAAATGCTATTATAAATTTAGGCACTGGCCTTATTCACTGAGTAATTGTAACTTTTGATTCATGGAGCATTTCTCTTGCGCAAAAGAGTCTATCAGCATTCTTCCATTCAGGTGAACGCTGGCATCTCTCTTCCAGGGGTGAGCGCCACATGGCAATAGATATCCTGCCTGCCTGCCTGGCTTTAGACCTGATGGCTTTGCTCCAGGGCAAGACGAAAGCCAGAATGCAAGCTGTATGTTTGCAATATAATCACCACTTCCTTACATAATGAATAATTCTTGCATCTTATCTGAAATTTTTAGATTGTGTCACTAAGAAAAATGTAAAGATTCAAGCAAGAGTTGACAGTTGGGCTTAGTTTAAAGTAATAGGAGGTTTTCCACTGAAGGAAATTATTGAGCATGTGAAAAATAGATGGGGAAAATCATGACCTGAATTCAGTGAACCATTAGTAATCCAATTTAGTCACAGAGGAGGGTATTTACATAAGAGAAAATATGCAAGCAAAGTTAGAAAAGCATAGAAAAACTAAAAAGAATAGAGTTTAAGCGATAAATACCAGACTACGCAGCAGAAGAGAATGCCTGGGTTTGCAACTTCTGGCTCCGTCTACTTGTTGGAATATTACCCTGGGAGAGCTGTTAATCTCTCTGTGCCTCAGATTATTTACATTAATCATTGTAATTAAGGTATCTAATTCATGGATTCATTGTAAAAATTAAATTAGTTAATATGTATAAGGGTCTTAGCACAATGTCTAGTGTGTATCAAGTACTTAGTGAATCTTGGCAAAGAGATTGAGCAAGACATTCATTAAAGACTGAATATCACAAAATAATTATGCACTTGGAGCTGTAATTATGCTTTCAGCGTTGCACTAAAGGTTTTAGAAGTGGGAGGAGGAACCGAATCAAGACTATGCTTCAAATTCAGCACTACATTTGGTAAAGGAAATAAAGGAGGAAAAATATTCATTGTCTATTGCAACGCAAAGGAATGAAATTCCAAAGTAAATCAGATGGAAGAAGAACAGAGCTGAAGACCAAGGGGCACATGTGTTGCTGAATATTGAGGTATATGACAAGGAAAGTGAAAGGTAATGATAAAAAATAATTTATCTTTTTTCCCTGCGAAGTTATTGAAAGCAGAGCCGTGGCAAGAACAAAATTCAGCTAGTTCCATGAAAACCTATTCCAAGTATGAAAGGAAGAAATGTTTAATTCTGGATTTATTGAGTAGAAGATTGAAGAGGAGCTGCCCCAAATATCAGAACATATTACCTGGAACCTGGAATATATTTTATTTGAAGCAAACATCTTTTATATGTAATTAATTTGAAGATCTTGAGATAAAAGGATGCAACCAAAAACTCAGAGAGAAATGACACTGTGACCACAAAGGTAGAAATTGCAATGATATGACCAGAAGCTAAGGAAGACAGGCAGCAATTCCATGCTGAAAGCTGAGGAAGAAATCATGTAGACCCTGAAATGGCGGTAAATCTACCAGCATCTTGATTTCAGTGCCCTAAAGCTGATTTGGGATTGCTGGCTTCTGGTACTATGAAAGAATAATTTTCTGTTGTAGTGGTCAAGTTCATGATCATTTGTTGCGTAATTTGTAGGAACTGAATGTAGTTTGCCACAAGACTTCTGGAAAATTTATCTAAACTTTGGATGACAGTGCTACATAGTCACAAAATCATATGCCCGAAATTTTTTCCATGATTTCTCATTTTAATTTTTTTTTTTTGTAACTAATACTGTTAGTGTTCAGTGCAGTGGCTTTTTGGATTCTGCCTCTACTACTCCCTGCTACAATAAAGAAGCAAACAAATTTACCCATTCCTTTGCATCCATTTCTTTTATTTTCATTTTATTTTATTTATTTATTTATTTTTGGTGGAACTGGGAATTGAACTTCGTATCCATTTCTCATGTAATACTAAAATAACAAATTGGTCCATTTATTGACGCTATTTCCAAAGAATGCCAAATCATTCTGAAGTATTATACTTTTTTCAGGATTTTAAATAGTTCTGGTTTTTTCCCATCATGACCATCCTATTTTATCTATAATTTGTATGTATTCCACCTCACCCCACTATTAAATTTGGCTTTAAACCTTATGTATTCAGCTAAGTAACTTTCAGTTGAAGTCAGAGAAATTTCAAATATGTCATGTAATATATGTATGTACGACTTCATGACTTTGATTTAATCATCCTAAAAGAGTATCTGTGTAAAAAACAAATTAGAAAAAAATGGTCACTAGTCTTTTACAGTGTTGAAAAGTCTGATTTTTTATAAGTTTAATAAATTAGTGCTAAACTTAAATTTAGTTTTCTAACATGTAATTATGAAGCAATATACTTCCTAGGTGAAAAGTTCTCCAGTGTCATTGGTACATGTCCAGTTTGGAACAGTGCTTGGTGCAGGCCCCCGGAGCACCATGCAGCTCCTCTGCAAACCCTTTCCTAGCTCATTAAACCATGCCCACTTCTTAACGCAGCCAAAACTCCACTGCCCGTGGAGGTAGTCACTGATTATTCTAAAAATATTGAGTAAGTTTATACTGCCAGGCCCTGTAGTAGCTGCCAGAAAGGACTTGGGTATGGCCCTCATGAGTTTACAGGTAATTGGGGAAAAAACACTAAAATGTGATGAATGTTACCCTGAAGACATTACAGGGAGCTTTGAGAACCTATAGCAAGGGACCTTAATCTTTCATCAAGTTTACAGAAGGCCTAGCACGGGAAATACATTTAAGTTTAAGAGAAATCAGAAGTAAAATCAAGCCAAAGGAAGATAAAAAAAAATTGCAGAGATGTTGGTAAAGAAAACCATGAATAGTCCCTAGCCAAGTGAAAGCCTTATTTATGAAAACTAAATAAAAACATAAACAAATAAATAAGTATGAGCAGGAGAGGGCAGAAAAGAGAGAAGATATCACAGGAGAAGTGAATGTGTTTTAGAGAGATGGGGACAACTGACCTTGTAACTAGGAGCGTGGTTCTGTGAGATTTCAAGTTTCAGGAAGTCGTCCTGTGTACCCCAGAGAGAATGAACTGGGGCAACCCAGCACCCAGGCCCAGGCTGGCGGAGAAGGTGTGGAAGGAGAGCAGCAGACCTGTTTGACAGGACTGAGACAGCTAACCTGACCAGTTTTTAATGCAGAAGGCAGACAACAAAACAGGATTGCTGGTAGGGGCCATGAAACAGATGAAGGAGGCATTCCAAGACAGAGAACACTAAGAAAATCAAAAATTTTGGAGAAAAAAAATGGGAGAAGTCATTTTTGGATTTTGAACAGGAAGTTTCAAAAAGAAGCTGAAGTGAAAACACAGTGGGTGGTCGTAAGCATAAATTCAAAAAGCTGACGTTTCAAAGTAAAAATTATACTTTTCACCAACTCCAGGCAGCTGGGTTGGCTGGTGTGTTTGGTTGGTTTTGGTTTGGTTGGTTTCCTGAGGGTTTGTTCGTGGCGCTGAGACAGCCCAGAGCCTCCTCACACACCATGAGCGAGCTCTTCAGCTGCGAGTCCTAGCCCAGCCCTAATTTCAGTTTTAGTGTGTGGTGTTCTGGTTACTTTCAACATAGCCGCTGTATCTCGCTTTCCTACAGTGAACCGTTATGAATCAAGCGGAGAAGCAGGCAAGTTATTTTTATGCTCTACAAACTGTTAATTTGCTGCACAAACTGACTCAGCAGTAAAATAACATCCATTCATCCAGAAATAATTGCTTTGTAAGACAAAATAATGGTAAATTTGTCAAGGAAAAAAAAAGAAAAAGTGGGGGTGAGGGCACTACTAAAAAACCCTGGTTGGGGCCGGCCAGATAACTCAGCAGACTAAAGCACCTACTTAGGTACAACGCAGCGGCCGGGTTCGATTCCCAGCATGCTGTGCCGACCTGCCTGCTGGGAGCGTGGTGAGGCTAGGCATGGTGCTGTGGGCCTGTAATCCCAGTGCTTGGGAGGCTGAAAAGAGGAGGATCACTGTGAGTCCGATCTGCGTAGTGACACCCTGTATGCCCCTGTCCTAAACACAAAGCAAAAAACAAAAACAAAAAACCCTGGTAGCTCTTCCTTGGTCTCAGAGACCCATTAAAGGAGGGGCTTGTACATAGGAGGAAACCAAGCTGTTTGTCCACCTACTCAATGCACTTAATAATTGACTTATTGAGCTAAACCAGTGTAAAATGTTTGGTTGTTGCCTAGTTAATAGTTTAGGAATAGACATCATTTCAATCTTATTTCATACAACAGAAGCAAAAGACTGCTGGAAGTTCCCCCAAAATGTTCTTAACCATGAAAAAGTTGTACATAAATTAGGGACCTTCAACCTAGGCTACTGGCTGTTGCCAAATAAGGCTCTCATGCCCAAAAGCTGCAGCCATCTCAAGACTGTGAAAGGAAGACTAAGAAATGAGCTCAATATGGAGATGGTGGTGGACAGACAGGCAGTAGTAACTAAGGTCAGCCAGGTGTGGTGCCATACGCCTGTAATCCTAGCACTAGGGAGGCTGAGGCAGGAGGACTGCTGTGAGTTTGAGGCTAGCCTGGACTACACAAGAAGACCCTGACTAAAACATTTAAAAAAAAAGAAAAGAAAAAAGAAATCTCATGTATCGGAAATAACTCACGCCAAAAATGACACAACAGAAACCCTTCAAACAAACCTGGAACCATCTTACCACAAAGACCCCATGTTAGGTGAGGCAGCACACTTTTTTGTAACCTTGTCCAATATTAAATTGGATTTGTGCTACTTGCAAGTGAAAAAATGTTAATAATAAATGTCTTTCTATTAAATTATTAACACACACCCATGTCAGTCAAGGCCACTTGCTAGACTTTCAGAAATAATATTCATCCTGCCATCTCTGAAAATATTAACTTCAAATGTACAGTGAAAGGAAGAAAAGATGAAAGAGCCTTACTTGAATCCCAGCTCCCTCTGGCACAGTGATCTTCCACACACAATTCAGATTGTTGTCATAGGGCTCAGGGTAACCAGGAGACAAAATAGTCCCTTTGGGCTTAGTTAAAATTCCTCCACAGGGCACTAAAAGGAAAACAGTCCAAGAGAGGGAGTTAATTCTAATGCAAAGATTTGAAGTAAAATAAAAGATCAGAGATAACTTCTCAAGCAGAGAGTAGATTTACAAATACGATCAAATCATGCCATTTTCAAAACTCGCATGAACAATGAAAATTAAGTCTTTCTCATAAAAACTTTTAAAACATAATTAGAGAGCATTAATGGTTGGTCTTACAGAAACATATCTAGTGACTCTCCTTCACATCTCCTTTAAAGTAGAATTACACTGCCTGAAGAAGAACAATGACATGGTAATGATTATGTTATGATCATAACCTTTATAGAGAGCCTGCTCTCTGTCAGACATTCTTCTAAACACTCCGTGTATTTTAACACGTTTATGCCTCCCAACAGTTCAGTGGGAGTTTAGGAATTTTATCTGCGTTCTTCACATGAAGCAATAGAATCATTTGGAAGTTGAACATCTTAGCTGGATGTGGTAGCAAACACCTCGAAGGCTGCCTACTTAGGCTGAAGGAGGAGGATCGAAAGTTCCAGGTCAGCCTCGGTTATGTAAGTGACACTATGTCCAGAGCCTCCAAACAAAACAGAAACAACACAGCAGACTACAATGTAGCCTAGTGGCAGAGCATTTGTTGACCACGTGTGAAGCCCTTGGTTCCACCCCCCAGTACCAAAACAAAAGAGGGTAACTGTCTGGCCCAGTATTACAAAGTACAAGACACAACAGGGCTTTGAATCCCGGTAGTTTACAGCCATAGTTTATACAGGGCTTTGAATCCATGGTAGTTTATACCATGGCACTGTGGTATAAACAAGGATATCTAAGTCTACTTATAAAGGAAGATGAAAGGACATGATTTTAGTAATTATTTTCAGAAATTAAATTACAATTATATGCTACTTGCAAAGCCAAATGCAAAACTGGAAGGCAATTACTCCAAAAATATACTG